AAGGACTTGGCAAAGTGCCAAGGAGCCGCACGCGACACGCGCGCTTACGACGGATGTTATGAAGGACGGGAATCTGCGCCGCAAAAAGGTGTAAGGCGGAGCATGGAGGAATTAGCGTGTTTCACGGTCCTGTATCTCCATTCCTGGGCATGTTTGGGCGGGGGGACCACGACACATCGACAGCTGGGGGGCTGATAGTCTCATACACCCTCAATGTGTGAGCGTACTATGTGTCTTTAAATGCATTCCCTGTACCTTTAGTAAAATTATATCCATTGCCATTTTTAGCTGGAGCGTGCTGTCGATAGAAGGACCGCAAGCAGTTGCTGTTTGGCAGTATGAGGAGACCATAACGAAAAAGTTGTGCGCCGTGATGGATGCCGACGACCCTGGAGACGTTTTTCGAGCCGTGAAGTAAGTAGTGAAATGATTAGTTTTTGTTTTAATTTTTAAACTTTGCTGTTCTTATGTTTTCTGCTTGGGTCTTACAATTTTTCACTCTTTACCAGTAGGCCTGTGCGCAGCGCCTAGTCCATCATGGTAGGTTTCTACGGAACAGAGCATTCTTAGCTAGTTGTATGCAGCAGGATCAAATTTAGAACAGAAGATAGTCTGAGACAGATTGTTGTACGCTCAGCTCAATTTGATATTAATTGGCTATATTAGAGTGAAATTACGGCTTTCGATCGCGATCCTTCTAATTGTATGTGCATGTACTCTCACCGAACTCCATTAAACCTCGCGTTAATGCCGAAGAACCTGACAGCGTGAGTTGCCTGTCCTTTAAGGTTATCTCTGCACTGCTGTTTCAGATCGTTATGTGAGACGGTACGCGGTCTAATGGAACAAATCACAACCACCTACACAAAAGTGGAACAATGGGAAAGGGAAGCCGGTTGTCTGCCCAGCGATCCCATCACGGAGAAGTAAATCCTAATACTCAGTTATCATTTGTTACCTTCCCAAACATGTGATTTTTCAGATGTTCCACTCTTTTGCGAAAGCTAGACGTTTTGATGCAATCTTTGAGTTCAGAAGAGGAAAAGGTGGAGGAAAGCGGATTTGAACCTGAAGATGATGAACGTGAGTGACATCATTCAGAAACTGGCGCTTTTTTTGAAATAGTTACCTTTTCAACTTCAATGTCGTTATCAGAGAAGCAGTGAAGAAAAAAAATGAGCTTTCCACTGTTCTCCCTACAGGTACTGCCAGTGAAGAGCGAAGAAGGCGTGATTCGTTGGTGGGTAGGGCAAACAGTCTGAAAAAAGCACTAAAGGATATCATGAACATCGCGGAGAGAGGAATCGATCAACATACTCGCGGAAGGTAGTTTTTTTGTCTACTTTTTTATCTTCTCGGGAAATGCTAACTCGGTTGACTTTTCGTTTTTACTGTGGAACGGAAGTTGGACTTTTTTTTAGGAACTTCTCACGTCTCCTGAAACCTGTTTTAGATATCTAATCTTGTAAACCTATGCATGAGGCGTTGAGCGTTGCCAACAGCAAGAGCCCACTGTCGTGACACTTTTGGGGCAATACCATGCTACCAACGATAAACTAAAATCCGAAGAACTGGAATTTGGAAGCAGGAGACGAATTTCGTAGATAATACCTTGGTGAGGGGCAAGCTGTGAACACTTAAAGACAGCCCCCGCGCTCAAGTAGTACATGGTCGTCCTTCCTTGTGCAAGTAGTACAGCCCCCAAGCTAGAGACTATCCCACTCTCGCGACTCCACAGCGAGCGAGGAGCGAGCTACAGCCGCTGAAAGTTCTAGTTCGCCCGCCCAGTTGGACCGCCCACTTGCTAGATGCCCTCTGACGGAGGGCCGCTCAGTTGTTCTTTGTTGGGGCGGCGGGCATTAATCGGAAGTGCTTTTTCTTCGCTGATCACGCTGGTGCGAATAAGTTATTCTGCTCTTTACATTTTACTCATTAGGAGCACATTCAGTCAAATGAAACCATCTTGCAAGGTAAAACGCATAAAAATCACATGCATTTTTCGTAGTGCTAAAGCTCGAGACGCACTAAAAGATGCACGCTACCGTAGCCATAAATTCGGACGCCGAGTTTTTGAAATTTTTTTTGTCAAGAGTTTTTCGTCCGTGTTTTTGTTGTTTTTCGTATTCTTTTCTTTGCATTGGATGATATCTTCTACTGGGAGATGCGAAAAAGCGATTTGTTAGCCAGGGGTTGCATAGAGACCGCAGCGGCGGTGTGACTGTCAGGGAGCAATTTTGTTTGTGGTGTTCTTGAGAACTCTCCTTGCTTTTTTTCTTCTTTGGGGAATTACTTATCAGCTAATGTTTCTCAATTGAATAGCAACTCCATGACACTCTGTCGGGGGAATTGTCTTTAACAGCATATCAAATCTTGTGGGCTGCTTACATGTGAATACCGGACAAACTTGTTATCACCCTGTAAGCCTTGTTATCACTTATCAGGAGAACCTTTAAACTTCTGTCGAACTTGTCAAAATGACTGGCCAGGACTTGAAAAAAGCAGAAATAGCGTTCCAGTAACGCTGGTACCATTTCGCTATGTTTGGCAGGAGTATACAGTGTGCATAAAAGGAATTCGAAGGACTTGCAGCGTGAGCCGCGTTTGTAAGAAGACAGAAGGAAAACAAGGACAGCTACACACATTCAAAATATATACACACTATACACAATCGCTAGGGCTGGGCAAGCCGTCGTTGTGGAAACGGGAGAGGGTCTCAATGAGCCCAAAGGAGGGGAGGTCGGAAGCACTAAGATCATTCAGAATGGGAAGAGCAGCATGCCTGGATGTTGCATAGTCACCGACTGATAAAGATCTGTGGTTCTAGCTGTAAAAAAACTGAAGAGACATTTGAAGGCACAGGACAGGCATGTTGGTAAACTGGCAATGGCAGGAAATACGATGGCCGCCCATAACGTCATGAACTGATAAATAAACAGAACGCCGTATGCGCTCAGATTGTTTTCACCAATAACGCCGTATGCGCTCAGATTGTTTTCACCAATAAGCTCATATCACGATCGAGTGTGATATAAGCCCCACCCATGACAGTGTGGTTCAGTTTACGGTTGTACTCCAGATGTTACGACAATAAAGAAGCTATGCTACCCGTCGAAGACCCCGAACTTCACACCTTGGCCACCGCGAAACAACAGAATGACCAGCAATACGAAGAAGCAAGGAACCAACGTCTCTACTACATCACTAGGAATCCAGGAATTAATCAAGGCAAGCATCTCTGTGTCATGTAAGTGCACTTGTAACTATCATAGTAACATGAATCCGGGTCACCTACATGAAAATGTCCTCAGCACTTCGCATATGAACCTGTTCGACACAACCTTTTCTCCAAGACAAGCTGCCCACAACGGGAACCTTGAATTGCCTTTTAGGCAGAATACGACTCCTGAGCACACTCCAAAACGACTGTTTGTAGATCGGAAGAGTTGGCGAGCCCAGAATACGTCTACCAAAGGGACTACCAGTCACTTCAGAAGACCACAATACAGCAGTTGACATCTTATGTCAAACGTACAACAACCCGCCAAGTTCCTCGTCACCTAATTTACAACTGGCAGGTCTCCCACAATGCGACCAAGAAGGAAGACAACTGCAGGCTTTCTACTTGACGATGCTGCGTCTTGTTGACGATATAACTCAATCATCCCAGGTATACGAGAATACGGGTTAGGGGGCCTCCTCTACAACAAACGCCCTGGATTTGTCCAGCCGAAAATCTACGACGCAACAAAAGGACAAATGAACCTCACTCCTAGCCAGTTAGTTGATCTGCTGGCGGAAGTATTAAGAAAAGAGACCAGTTAGAAACGCCGTCAATTCTTATAATTCCAGCCGTTACTGTATGGGACGGCGTTTGCATCAAGAGACTCTGAACGGACCAAAGACCTAATTTCACACCAAAAATTTTGTCCCCTTCGCTTCAAAGCTAATCATGATGCTTTACAGTGCCGAGAGTTCAGCACACCGGAAGAAAGATGGTACCGAACTCACAAAAATGAGCTCTATCTCGTATGTTTACGACGGAATCATAAAACAAATTCATGTGATCGACGCCGTGCAATAATCATAACCATCATCCTTTCCTTTGTTATCACGTGAAACAGTTCGAAAACAGTCCCTGTCAGGTAGAGATAACAACACATTTGCCAAAAATTTTTCAAAAAACTGGCTCACACGGGAGAACCTCAAGGGCGAGGCAAGTCAAGATCTTTACGACAAGCAGTATAACAAGTCCACCACCTCCGAAGAACTTAGTCAACTTCTCCAGCGAGACGGCAGAGGCAAGGACTAAAGTAAAGTATAAGGGACAAAAAGAGAAACCAGGAACGATCATATTACTCACAACAACAAGTGAAGTGGAGAAAGATGAATCGCAAACGAATAATGAAGAAATTCTAGTCATGTACACTGAGGTCACATTGAAACCCAAGTAACGACAAGGGAAAGTGGGAACTCTAGACATCCTAGACAGTAGCTCAACTCACTCATATACAGGGTAGAGGGGGCAAAAAAGACACTTTGGCCGAGTCACATATCAGTAAAGTTTTCGCAGCCCAGACAGAAGACGTGGATACGAGTACCAGGGCGGAAGATACCCAAGATGTTCCTCGATAAGCAGGAGCAGGCTCTCGCCCATCACCTTCATGTACACCAAAATATGAAGTCATCTCCAATCGCAGCATGATTTGAGAAGGCCTATGGAATACATGTCAGGCAGGCTCCGAAAATTACGACCTCTTTCCTAAAGCCTCCAACAAACCAACACGTTATGATGAAGATGATCATCGCGACCGCATAAAGCCTTTATTCGAAGTGAAGCTAGCAGGTGTTGCAAACAAGCAGCGGACTATACAAAAAGGAACGAAGACGTCCACAATTCTAAACTACGCTGCAAGAACGAAACTGACGTCTAATCGACAAGCACATTCAGCCACTTTCAACTCGGGCGAGGAGAAGAAGAATCAGCAAGTTTGTGTAGTGAACAAGACAAAACCTCTAAGGAAAAGAGACGGAGCTTTCAACCCAGCATTGTCATTCAACCCCCACCTTCACGTCCACCGTACCCAGCAGAACAGCTACTTCGAATTCATTCCCGCTCCCGCACCGTGGCAAGTAAAAACATAGCCAAGAGCTTCGAAAAATCATTCAAGACCATCACCCTAATTCGAAAGCTGATGTTAAAGCAATTTTTCACAATAGTCAAAGAATGGGAATCAATCCAGACAGCCGACCATTGACATGCGTACACGGTGACATCGATTCAGGATGCTCCATAGTACCCAAAGATTCCCTCGATCCATTTGAACTCAAGGAATCACCCCGAACAGAAGACGATGACAAATCTAGCAGCGAATGGGCATTCAGAGTAAAAGAAGGCGATCTTCAGAAACAGTGGGAGTTTACATTAAAATTCTTAACAATTTCCGGAGAAGATGGTACGAATGCTATACTACAAGCTATCAAACAAAGAACACATTCTACGACATTCGAAGTACCTGAAAAAAAATGAAAAGAAACGTCATCTCCACTCCCACTTCTACAACATCTACGTCACCGCAATCAAAAAAACAAGAATGCTATCTAAACCCGCAAGCGGAGAAGGCAAGAAGTTTTCACTGTGGTCAACTTCGAACCACTTCTGGTTGCATTTGTCTCCGGTTTTTTTTTCTACGCGGGATGTTTTCGCTCATAAGCTAATATCACGTATCCGAGTGTTGATATGTATGTACTAAGCGATTCTACAGTGTCGCAGAACCTGAAAAATCTGAAAGAAACCTTTATCGTAGACAGAGTGCAGCTTCAGTTTACGACGTTGGTTCCAATAGAGTTATCGATAAAGAGAAGCTATGCTACACCGCGTCGAAGACAATACTTACAACATAGACCTCTCTGGACGTTCTGCTTACCGATTGACGGCCTTACTCGGAAGCTACACCTTTCCAACATCTCTGTGTGGGGATCAGATGCATGGCGCAATGCAGATGGGATCAGTCGGCACCGAATGAACCATTTTCTAATGATTTTGAAGAAAAGATTTGTTTTATACGCTTTACTCAAGTCTTCAGACAAACTGCAAATGGTACTGCGCCAAAGTTGTGATTAGCGTCGTCTGAAACTTGTCACTACAAAATCACAACGGTGAATTTTTAAATAATGGGCTCGAGGAAGAAATGAAGTCTTTTTTGAAAAGAAGAAGTTTTCTAGATTTTCGCGCCGTCTTTGGTTTCTTGAAAGATCACATCTGAAGAAATTTATAGCTGTTCAAAAAAGAAAACCCAACAAGAAAAACACTAAAATGCAAAACGACGTCAC